CCACATTTATTGAAATTTTCTGCTTAATTTGAACTGAATTGAAATTAGCTTTCGATGGATAGGAGCTTATAATTCACAGTAATTTAGTATTTTATTTTTCATTTAACGCGTCATATACCAAATCCCCTAATACGAAGTAAACGTGCAGAGTCTTTGTCTAAGAAATGACATCAAGGAGCTAGTAATCATTGTATATTCATTTAAAAATGCTTCCACCAATGTCCTCTCCTGCGATGTAATTTCATTTGCTTTAGCTTCATTAGTCAATAACCAGTGAAAAAAAACCGGCTTGCGTCAATTATGGCAACTGCAGGGGTCAGTGAGTTTTTAACTGCACGCAATTATATGGAGTGGTCTTGTAACAGTGATTAACCCTCGATGTGTGCGATCAAATGTGTTTCAGATGTGCATCCCTAAATGATAAGCAGCTACAAGCCTGGGAGTGTGAGGCGATGAGGTGAAAAACTATTCCCTTGGCTAAGTGAGATGGAGCAGAGTGTTGGGTGGTCACGCCTTGTCTGCTCATGACAGTGGCGGGTTAAAGAGATTACACTGGGTCTGTGTCAGCAGCCTTGGCCTTGCTCACATAAGAACATAATGAGGAAGGACATGCTTGGCCTGCCGGGGAGAAAAAGAGGCTCAAATTTGAAGCAGTCTTCACAGGCAGCGGCAGGAGGCAAGCAGCTTTTTGCATGTTGTTTTACAAGCAGAGGTCAATAAGTAGGAAGTATGCATTCCACAGAAATGAACGAGGTGACTGTTGAGTGCAGGGAGAACACTTCTGGGCTTCTCTCTCCCCAACCAGCACAAAGAATGAAAGCACAAATTACTCTGCTACACTGGAGGGAAGAATGCCGTATTCTCCATTAGCCTGGAGTCCTCCTGATGACGGACTTGCAACACTCCACTAAAGCTTTCCTGAAAATCGATGCATCTGTCCTCTAAGTGTGTGTTTTGCTTCTTTCGAAGGTGTGAGCGTCCATCTGTTCCCTTAATAACTGAACTTGGAGACTTTCCCAGCCTCAGATGGTCTTGAGTCGGAAACGGTTGTCAGAGTAGCGTCCGGAAATTTTGAACGTTTAACGATCTACCTGTACTCGAAGCTTTCCCAAGCTCCCTCGTGAGAACTAAAACGCTTCATATGGCATATTTGTGAGGGAACGGTCCAGGACAGAGCAGTGATAAAAACATGTTTCTCTCAAAGACCTGACTTCTATTTATTTTCTGCCCTGATCTGTGATTTCTCTGTCTTCTGTTTCTGCCAGCAGGCGGTGAACACCGGCTTACAGCAATTTTAAACAAATGTGCTTATTCAAGTCAAGGTCTCTTGCTCATCCTTACTGTGGAGGGAATTTGCAAAGATTTTAAAATATATATAAAATATATTTAACTTGTTCCAATGATAAAATGAAAACTTCATTAAATTAAAAAAAATCTTGAGGTCTTTTATATTAATTTGTTGTTTGCCTCTTAAAGTTTTCTGACAAACAAGAGTGCAGTCCTCTGCTTCGATAACATCTCAAAGCAAACCAAAGACTCACATTAGGGAAAGCTCCACTTCCTAATAGATCAAGCAGGCAGAGCTATTAAGAACTAATTTATAAATACCTGTTGCTAGAGGGGATCATACCTGATATCTATTTTCCCCCCTCTCTCTCCAAAGCAGTGCAGGGAATAAAAATGCACAATCCTTATAGAGTTATGATTTTTAAAGATTTTTAAGACTAAATTGCGATTTTTTAAAAAAAATAAAGACAAATGCACACTTTTTTCCAAATTGTGTCAACTCATGTCATCAGTTAAGGGAGTAAAAATGTTCCACCGGCCATGATTCTGCATTACGCACAGACGTTAAACATTTTAAGCAGTTTACTGATATACGGGTCAAATACGTCAAATTACCATTAGGGATACTAGCCCAGATTTGTGTAATAAAGAGGTGATAATAGCGACACTTTTATTCCTTTAAATGACCCGTGAATATTATTTTACCTGTGTTGAACTGGGAGGACGCAACCATTCACGCCGCACAATAGGAACAGCAGACCGTGCGTAAATTGCATCTTCATTTGCATTCCCAGTCCAAAAAAAAAAAATCATGCAAATCTTAATGAGACAGTTTCCATTGTGGCTGTAATTGAAAAGCCATTCTTTGTTAATTACTGTTTCTCAAAGGCCTTGTCCGCAGTCACTGAGCTGAAACAAAAAGAAAGTTATTGATTCTGGAGGTCGTGGGGTCTAAAATGGACACGTAAAAATGTTGATTGTGGATCTGAGGTGCGACTTTTGATAACGAAAAACAATCTGCTTTGTTTGAGAACTGTAAAAAAAATGAAATGAAAACAACGAACTGTAAGCTCTTTCTGCAACAATAAAAGCACGATTCAAAACAATAAATTTCATCTGTTATCAGGCGTTGAAAGCTGAATGCATGCAGCGCCTGCGCCTTGTCGTGTATTATTAAAGTTGCTGTCTGACCACAAAGCTCTAATGCGTTCGGAGCACTATATTTTAAAGCAGGCATTTATGTGTCGTTGTGTCAGTCTGTCATCCTGGATAAACTTTAATTCCCCTCCAGCCTTGAACTAATAAATCCTTTGTTTGCTTTTATTTGTTGGCCTAAAGGCCGACACTCTGCACAAGACCTTTATTTCTGTAGCTCCTACCGCAAGAACACAAATGTAAGAATTAAACACACATTTTTGCGTGTAATAAACACATAACCTGTGTGTTCTGACTAAAAATACAAAACGACTAATTTCTGCGCTGAAATCTGTTTTTTTGACAGGAACTTTCGCTCTTAGGCTGACGCGCTATTCATTCATTTTTTAAATTTTTTTTACGTTAAATTATACCCGATTGAGGTGATTGCAAGCTCGTTACATCCTCCCATCAGGACATCCACATATTTCCCAACATTCAACAGTGGGATCCTGCAGCCGTGCGCCCTGAGAGCCCCTTAGGGCCGTCAGGCTTGTTGAGTCTGAATCAGAGCAGACTGTGCTGGTGGTCCTCGGTTCCTTAATTAGGAAATTAGCCGCACAGAGGCCCTCATTATCAAACTCCGGGTTACTCTTTGCCTGTTTTTTTTCCTCCTCTCTCCCTCTCTCTGCCACCGGTCAATTTCCATAAGCAGATTACAAGCGGATCAGTACTGAGATTCGCTCCGATAAACAAATAACCGGTCCCGGAGAATTAGACGAGTACTAATTGAACGTTAGTTTTATTGCTCCCGCTCTGTTTGTCACGCCCCATTGAACGTGGAAATTAAATTCATGAAGTGATGTCTCTTTTCAGCTGATTTACTATTACGGTCTTGGGTCTATGCGCTACAGTCCCCTCCTTTTAAGATATACATTATGTAATGTGTGTGTCTAAACCTTTAATTTAATTTTTTTTTATATATATCTGTCGTGAGAGTAAACTTTTTTTTCCAAAGTGCTTTAAATATGGTGTTTGATGTTTTTCTTTTAAGTAAAGTGGAAAATAAAACAGTTGGAGGATGTTATCGGTAGCTCGTTAGAAACCTATAAATCAGAAAGAGCCTGGCTTTTCAGTCTGAATATTTGCTCTCACCGATGGTGACAAATAGTGAAATGCCTGCACTCCCTTCGCATCATGTACATGGTGGGTCTTGAGCAGCTGCCCTTTAAGTTTCAAAGCTGTGAGGTGTGAAACCCTCTAATATGCGCATAGCAGAGCGGCGCCTGAAGAGCCCTGTCGATACTCAGGTGTTAACAGGCGTTTTCGATGGGCGATTTGCTCCCAATCATTAGCAGGTGTGAGTTTTGCCCAGTTGAGTGATTGGTATCAATGGCCAAAGTCGTTTGTAAGGAGACACTCCCTGAAAATCATTTTTAAAAACCATTAACGTCGATGAGAGAAAACGAGTCACCCAACAGCTGGCGACGATTTTCAGGGCCGCCAGTCGGTTTACGTGAGGGACACTCAAACTAAACTTTTCCTCAGGGACCGAGGAGATAGCCTGTCCCCTCCACAAGAGGTCGTTGATGTATTAAAATTCCCCAGTGCTGGGATCCTAACGCACAACATTTCGATTAATTTCATTTGGAACATTTGGAAGTACGAAATCTCTCTATCATCACATAAAACAATAAATATACATGTTTTTGATGCTTTATTTTATTTTCAAAATGTATATTTTTATTATATTTATAAAACCTAAAAAATGCCATTATCAACCTCATTCTGTATCAAAACCTCATTGCATGGATTTCATTGTCACAGTGACTACAAGATCATTTAATCATTCAACACCTCTGGGAAATTTTTAAAAAACTTTAAGAAAAAGCACGTAAGAATAACATTCAGGTTCATCAGTTGAGCATGACACCATCGAAACCCCAAACTAATGTCAGGAGGCAATTTTCCAGAAGATTTGCAATACATTTGACTAAGTGGCAGAAAGAAACATTTTTTCCTTTCAAGTAACATATTTTATTTCAATATCCCGCTTTTTTAAAATGACTTGGACTTATTAAATCCATGTGGGTTGGGGTCTGCCTCTTCAGCAAATGAAATGACACCGATCCCAAATCTTTTGTTTGGTCATATGGTTTCATATTTTAAGAATTTATAGTTGTATGGGTACTTTACAGCCTCCATGGTAGGCTATTACAATCCTTAAAAACACCTCAGAAGCACTAAAATAATAAGCAGTAAAAATAATTTGCCACTAGAAGAAATGTGATGCGTTCACAGACAAAAAAGGAAGAAATAAATCGGGTTCATTTCTTTTATATTCTCGTTGATTTAGTCTTGCAAAATTCTGTAAATCCAGAACATTTGGAGTTGCGCTGCTGTTTTAAAACTTTACCTCTCCCTCCTCTTCTGACCAAAACACAGGGGTGTGTGCTCTGGTTGGTTACGCGCTGGATATGGGAGCCGCGCGCTGATTGGTTACCTGGTCCTCATTGTCATGCTGTCAATCCACATCACATGGTCCGGCCCCTAGGCCTATTAACAGATGAGCTTGGCGAACAAGTTTACAGACTTCTGTTTCAGAGCCGTGGAGGAAGGAGCAGTTTGAGCGGAGAGAACCTAGAAGCACCTGCAGGCACGTTTGCCTCTGAAGGCAGAACTTTTTTTCCAAAAAAGAAAAGAAAAACATCATCTTATGAGATCGGTCAGTACATCTACCTCTTTGACTTTTGGCGTTATTTTGTGAACTTTTTATGTGCCTGTGAGTGAACACTAAAAGCCGCCTGAATGTATAACATGATGGAAACCGAGCTCAAGACCCCGCTCCCGCAGTCCAACTCGGGCTCGGCGCCGGGCGCAAAGAACAACAGTGCCAGCGACCAGGAGCGGGTAAAGCGGCCGATGAACGCCTTCATGGTCTGGTCTCGGGGTCAGCGGAGAAAGATGGCTCAAGAAAACCCTAAAATGCACAACTCTGAAATCAGCAAGCGCCTCGGTGCTGACTGGAAACTTCTGACCGACAGTGAAAAGAGGCCATTCATCGACGAGGCCAAGCGTTTACGGGCTATGCACATGAAGGAGCACCCGGATTATAAATACCGTCCCCGCAGGAAGACCAAGACCTTGCTGAAGAAAGACAAGTATTCTTTGCCCGGGGGACTGTTGGCGCCAGGAACCAACCCCGTCAACAACGCTGTGTCGGTGGGGCAGCGAATGGACGGATACGCGCACATGAACGGGTGGACAAACAGCGCGTACTCCCTCATGCCGGACCAGCTGCCCTACCCTCAGCATCACAGCATGAACAGCCCACAGATTCAGCAGATGCACCGGTACGAGATGGCAGGCCTGCAGTACCCGATGATGTCTTCGGCGCAGACCTACATGAACGCAGCTTCCACATACAGCATGTCTCCAGCGTACACGCAGCAGACCACCAGCGCCATGGGACTGAGCTCCATGGCGTCAGTGTGCAAGACCGAGCCGAGCTCACCACCGCCGGCCATCACGTCCCACTCTCAGAGGGCGTGTTTGGGGGACCTGAGGGATATGATAAGCATGTACCTGCCTCCCGGCGGGGATAGCGCAGAGCATTCATCCCTGCAGAGCAG